GAAGCACTAGAAGTACTTACTCATCTATGCCAGGAAATTTGGACCATTACTTGGCCAGCTGACTGAAAAAGATCCATATATGTACCCACTACAAAGAAAGGGAACCCAAAAGAATGTTCAAACTATAGAACAATATAATTGATATCACATGCAAATAAAATTTTGCCAAAGATCATCCAACATGGCTGTAGCAGTGCATTGACAAGGAGGTGCCAGAATTTCATGCCTGATTCAGAAGATGATATTCAACAAAGGATATCATTGCTAATATCAGGTGGATCTTGGCTCAAAGCAGAGAATACCTGAAAGATGTTTCCTTGTGTTTCATTGACTATGTAAAGGCATTCAATTGTGTGGACCATAATAAACTATGGATAACCTGGAGAAGAATGGGAATTCCAGAGCACTTCATTGTACTCATGTGGAACTTGTACATAGGTGAAGAGGCAGTTGTGCACAAAAAGAACAAGGGAATACCAGATGGCTTAAAATCAGGTGTGTGCCAGGCTTAGATGTGTGCCAGATAGATGTGTGTGCCAGAAAGGTGTGTGTGCCAGAAGGGTGTGTGCCAGGCTTAGACCCATTCACTATACTTGTTCATTTTGTATGCCAAACAAATCATCAGAAAAGATAGATGATGTTAGAAGAATGTGGCATCAGGATTGGAAGAAGGCTAATAAACAATACTCAATATGCAGATGACACAACCTCTACACTTGCTAAAAGTGTAGGGGACCTAAAGCACTTGCTGATGAATATCAAGGATTGCAGCCTGGATTATGACTCAATGATAAAGAAGACCAGATGGACATTGGGCCTCTACCCAAGTACTCCCTCAACAGAAGAACACTTTGTTCTAGCAATCAGCATTTTGTGATGCTCACCTACCAGACATGATTGCTGAAGAAAAGGTGCATAAGCAAATGTGAAGAAAGCTGATGGTACCCAGCTATCAAAAATATAGCGTCTGAGGTCTTAAAGGCTTGAAGATAAACAAGCAGCCATTTAGCTGAGAAGCAACAAAGCCCACAAGGAAGAAGTATACCAGCCTGTGGGATCATGAGGTGCCAATGGGATCAGGTATCAGGCATCTAAACCCCAGAACAAAATCATTCCCAAGGTGAATGAGGAGAGGAGAGCATGGAGTGGAGACCCAATGCCCATCTGTAGACAATTGGACATCCACTCACAGAGGGTCACAGGGAAGAGATGAGCCAGTCAGGGTGCAGTATAGGACCGATGAAACACACAACTTTCCTCTAATTCTTTGGTGCTTCCTTCCCCCTACTATCATGACTTCAATTCTGCCTTACAAATTGGATTAGCACACTGCTACAGACAAGTGTCTGCAACACAGGGAATCCAGGATAGATAAACCCCTCAGGGCCAACAATGAGAGTAGAGATACCAGGGGGATGAACAACGGAAAAGTGGGTGAGGGGTGACGGAGGATGATGTAAGATATGAAAATAATAATCTATAATTTATCAAGGGTTCTGAAATGTATCAATTTACTGACTCAAAAAACTCAAGCTCACTGTCATCAAGTTAATTTGGATTCATAGTGTCTCTTTAGGACAGAATAGAACTGCTGTTTTAGGTTTCCAAGGTTATAAATCTTCAGAAGCGAAAGCATTGTTCTCCCTCAGAGCTGCTGGTGTTTTGAACTGCCAGCCTTGCATTAACTTAACTGGTACTTAAACTGCCAATTTTTAGACACTTAAGTTGCAACAATAAAACCGCATAGCTGAATCCACTGCCTTCCAGTTGATTCCAATTCATAGCAACTTGACCAAACCGCAATCCAAATCCAAACCCACTACCATCAAGTTGAGTCTTCCTCACAGTGGCCCTGGATAAAGTTTCTGAGGCTGTAATCTCTGCAGGCTGCTATGAGCCCACAGTGACTCCATGGCGCTGAGTAAAGTAGCTGCTCCCAGGGAAAAAGGCATGTCTTCCTCGGCCCATAAAGAGTTACAGTCTGGGAAACCCTGGGGGCACTTCTCCTCTGTCCTAAAGGATTGCTTTGAGTCAGAATCCACTCACTGACAGTGGCAGTCGGTCTCATCTTTCTGCTAAGGAGCAGCTGGGGCCCAGTGTTCTTACAGAACCCTGTGTATTCCTTTCCTTTGAGTGTATCTTTTTCAAGTTCAGCACTGATTCCCATTTGATTTTACAGCCCAGACTAAAGGAACCTAAGAATTTGGGGTGTTTTTAAAAATTGAGTTTTGAAACATAATATTTAGGATAGTCTACATGTGGAGGTCTCATGTGACCAAAAGTGAGGACAGATCACTGACTCTCAGCTGGTTTGGGGATACCACCTTAGAAAAGAGCCAGCTCGACAGACTGCTGAGTGCACTCTGGATGCTTAGGAAGCTCGTACACCGTGGGCCTCCTGGCCTAGCTCTAGCTGCTGTTGCTGGAAGCGAGGGCAGAGTCTCACCAGGAAACCAGCAGAGAGAACAAAAGGGCGAGAGCGAGGACATCGGTGAGCAAGGAATTGCTGGGAACTATGATGCTTTATGTTCAAATCTGTGAAGTGTTGGTCTGGGACGGTCCCTTCACATTATGGGAACATAATCAAGTCCCAAGCAGATGTGCATCTGTTAGCTGGAAGATGCATTTTTTAGTCATAGCTCAATGTGTTCATGGTTGAAGTAAGAGTATCTTTAGGGAAACAATTATCATTTTTGGTTAGATAACATTCATATTGTTATCGCGTGTGCAAGTACGTCTAGCCTACGGTTACTTCAGTCGTTTTTAAATGTCTATGTTTCTGACCTTTAATCATCCATCTCCCTGTTTAGATTGATAGAGAATTTAAGGTCCAGAAAGCCTTGTATGCAATTGGATTCCCTGTTCCCAAGCCTTTGCTGTACTGCGCTGAGGCTTCTATTATTGGAACAGAATTTTACGTGATGGAACATGTACAGGTAAGTTCATATTTAATCGCACTTTGTTGCAGCTTTTATTCCTATAAAATTAGATGTTGTTCAATAGAATTCCTTATTCAACATTTTAGGTAACTTTCAGCTTTACAAAGACTTAAACGTCTGTTTTAACTTCAATCCATACCAGGTGGAGGGATACAATAGAGTAGAAACAAATTTAGTAACTAATTCCTGCTTTTTCCTCTAGGTGTCAGTAAAGAGTTGTATGTCAGGGCAATAAACTACCGTAAATTCTGTGTTGGGCTGCCGACAAGGCCAGCTATTTGAACACATCAGGCTGCTTAGAGTGGGCATTGACTCTATAGGCAGTGAGTGGGAAGAGAGACATATCTTTCTACTCCCAGAAAGCGTAGTCTCGGAGACCCACCGGGTACTTCTACTCAGTATCAACTCCTGCCAGTGAGTTTCACTTTGTTTGGATGGGGAGTGGGAGTGGGGGTGGGGGATGTTATAGGGAAGAAAGGAGAGGCTCCAAATGGAAAATCAAGCCATTAAGCACCATAAGTAATCAAACTAGTACTGTTTTTATAAAAGGTGAAGTTGAGAGTTAGTTTTTGGTGTGTAAGTGTATCGTGGCTTGTCCTTGAACGTTCTTTTGAAGCACGCACTCATATTAAACATGTCTTACAAATGAATGTTTTCAGGCCTGATTGACAAAGAATTGGTTCTGGTTACAAAACTGTTGTCCTAATCCTTTTCAGGCTTTGTATAGAGTAGGGATGGTGATACAGCAATGAATAGGTATGAGGAAGACTAATGATCTGTTATGTTCTCTTGCACAGGGGAGGATCTTCCGTGACTTCACCATTCCTGGAGTTAGCCCAGCAGAGCGCACAGCCCTATATGTGGCCACGATCGAAACCTTGGCGCGACTGCACTCCCTGCAGGTACGGTCATTGCCACTGGAGGGCTATGGCCGTGGAGCTGACTACTGCAAAAGACAGGTAATGCCTGTGTGGGGCACCATATGCTTGCTGGCTGTCATCGGTCAAAATACAAATAAAAGATACAAATCTATTATTTCATAGTTTTCTGAAGCATTGGCTATGATTCTCACTCTCAACCTTCAGAACTATTTGGTTTTAGCATAAAATTATATAGTTTTTGCAAATCATGTTTTACTCAGAATAAACTGCTGCTGTAATTTACAGCATGTGCATTGTGTTAGTCTGGGTACTTTAGAGAAACAAATCCACAGAAACTCATGTATAAGAGAGAGTTTATAGAAAGGTTAAGTGCACATCAAGAAAACATCCCAACCCAGTGCTGCCAAAGCCAACAAGTCCAACATTAACCCATTAACCCATATGTCCAACACCAATCCACAAAGTCCTCCTCGATTGCACAAAACAGACGTAATGATGCCGACTGCAGGAGGAAAGCTGAGTCAGTGAATGTGTAAACATCTCAGTGCTGGCAGGGGTCTCCACACGGGTGCTCCAGCACCCAGGGTTGCAACTGGGTAAGTCCATGTGGCTTCTCCTCAGGGATGTCTTGCAGGAAGTGAGCCTTGCCAGCTGAAGCAGGGAACTGGCTAAGGCAGCTGCACCCTGGTGTGACCATCAGAAAGCAAGTGACCCGAGAACTAGAAAGGCAAGGCTCACTGAGCCATTTATCCCTCCGCCCTTCTATTAACCCCACATGTGTTTATCAGCCAGGTTGGCACAATAAACTACCTACCTCTTGCATGAATGCAAATTGAAAGCAATGTCATGCTCTTTGCCTAATTTTATCAGTATGTTTTATGTTCCCTTTTAAAATTAGGTAAACAGATATTTATTTCTTAATAATTTTAAAAAATAATTTTTAAAAAAGTCAACAGATATTTATGATCATGTGTTTAATGCCTACTGAGTTCTATGTAAAACACAAATAGAACTTTTTGTCCTAACGAAACGTATGGTCACTTTTAAGAGTCCTTGCCCATGAATTTCATCTACACACAGCAGATGATAGTGGTTTGAATGGATCTATAACCTGGCATTTAATTTCCTGGTATTTATCATGAGAGGTGTGCCTTCCAGAGAGTGGAGATTGGTGTGGCCTGGCCTAGGTGAGGAAAGCTTTCTGCAAGAGAGATTTCTTGCAATGGGTATTTAAAGAAGGATGCATTTTAGAACAACGAGGAAGCGGTGTTGAGCATCTCAAATCAAAGGAACTGCAAAAGCGCAATGATAAGCCTGAAGTTGTTTCCCTGGTAAGCGTGCCCATTGGTAGGGAGCGGTTGGGAAGACGTAAGAGAGAGAAGGAAATGAAGGTTTGGAGTTATAGTCCGTTTATGTGAAGTCCGTGTTAGGTAAACTGTGGCTCCTCTCTTTTCTGATTTTTGCAGCAATCCTAAAGCATGGTTATTATCACTTTGCAAATGAGGACACTGAGGCTTACAGGGAGCATGTACTACACCACTAAGTGGCTGAGGTGAAATTTAAACCGAGGTCTATGTGACTAGAAGGCTGGTGATCTTTACCCTGCTGCCCTTAATTGAGTAGAGATTCTGGGGGGTGCAGAGATACCAGTTGCTGTGGAGTGGATTCTAATCACGGCGACCCCATGTGTCTCAGAGTAGCCCTGTGCAGCATAGGACTTTCCATGGCTGGTTGTTCAAAGGGAGCTCTCCAGGACTTTCTGCAGCGGCACCTCTAGGTGGACTCCAACCTTCAACCAGTTAGCAGCCAAGTGTCAATCAGTTACACCACCCAGAAACTGGGGAGAAATCAAGCAGATAAGTAGTACAGTTCCGATTGATGGAAGACTTTGAGAATGGGTTGATTTTTTTGCATTTGAGTCTAAGAACAGAGCACGCACACTTCTCACACCTGTAACATATTAAGATGATTCTACAAATAATAAGAAAGAATATTAAAGTGAGAAGTAAATCTCTGCACTTCTTCTTGCCCCTTTTAATTTTTTTTTGAAGTTTCTTTTTCTTTGACCCTTTCAAGAAGTTTCCTGTGCCTACTATTTATTTTTGTATATGTGTATAGGTACACTTATTTTCCTTCTTCTGTATTTTTCTTAGTAAAATATTTGGAGAAAAAGAACAGAACCTCAAACTCTTGTTTTCATGCACATAATTTTCCCCGCTCAAATGCTGGGGAAGTAAAATGGAACAAGATGGACAGGAAGCTGGCAGAAGTATTGCTTACGGGCATTTGTTTTGAGCTCTTAGGAGTACAGAAACTTGTTTATCATTGAAATGATGTTGATCTTACACTCCATTTTCAGCTCAATCTGTTTTCTTATTTATGCATCCTCAGGTGTCAACTTGGACAAAACAGTATCAAGCTGCATCCCATCAAGACATCCCTGCCATGAACCAGCTATCTGACTGGCTAATGAAAAACTTGCCAGAGAATGACAATGAAGAGAGTTTGATTCATGGAGATTTTAAACTAGATAACATAGTTTTCCACCCTAAAGAGGTTTGTAAAATCTACCATGTAGGTGTGATTTGAGGCACAAGTGCTCATTGGACCCTCCCCCAGAGCACTGAAGGAACCCACCCTATCCCTATTCTTGCCTTGCAGCTCTGGGCTGTCTATACAACTCCAAACCTTAAGAAAGGAGTCCTGCACCTTTTGTCTGTCACACAAATGCCCACCTCTACTTGGGAGCTTTGGTGATACTGTGGGTGAAGAGCCTAACACTTCAAACCCACCAACTGCCAAGGAAGATTTTACTGTCTGCTTCAGTGTAGATTGTAGGGGTCTTCAAACCCCTCTGAAACAGTTCCACTCTGTCCTATATGTATACTGGGAGTGAGAACTGATTCCACTGCAGTGGGTTTTGATTTGGGGTTTTGGAATCCTGGGTAATATCTGCTTTACTGCCTAAAAAGCACTCGAAAATTGTCACACATACCATTGTTAGAGAAAACATTGGCTACTTGTTTTTTTCTTATTCATGTTCTTATTCTTTCTTCTGGTTCATTGTCATTCCTTGGGGAATCTTCTTCCGCCCCACACACCTACCCTCCACCAACATCTCATAAAAATTTTGTGTTCCTCATAAGCTGAAAAGAAAACAAAGTCTCACTAGAATTGCATGACATTATAACCTTGCCCTGTATGAGGGAACTCAGTGTAATCTTTGTAAAGAGCTCATATAAATCAGAGATAGCCCTCTCCATCGAGCACGGGCTCTCCGTCCAGGCTTGCAGGAGAGTGTGGGAAATGAGAAGTGGCTTCAGCCTGGGAGCCAGCCACTAGCCCTCAGTATTCTTAGAGCAATGAGAACTCTTTAAAGTTCAATGAAGCCTGCTTCTTAGGAACGCTGGTGTCATAGTAGTCATGTGTTGGGCTGCTAACTGCAAGGTTAGCAGTTGGAAACCACCAGTCTCTCCTCAGAGAAAAGGTGAGGCTTTCGACTCCTGTGAAGGTCTGGAGTCTCAGAAACCCACAGGGGAAGTTCTACTTTGTCCTATAGGGTCACCATCAGTCAGAACTCGATGGCAGTAAGTTTGACTTTTAGTTGTTTAGAAGTCTGTTTGTTAGAGCAAGATTTTCATTCGTTTTCTCAAAATGTTAAGGTGTTTTAGGGCAGGAAAAGTTACTCTGAATTCATGTGCTAATCACTTGGGTATCACGTGTTTCCTCTACAGAAGGAGTTGGACATGGGGTGGGGAATAATAAATTATATTGTAGTTCAACACCATTTGAAAGTTCAAAAAGAGAGTAATATAAAGATGTGGTAGCACATTCATTTGCAGGGCAGAAAATTGTCCATACAAAAGTCAGTTTGAATTATATGTAACATATACATGGGTACCACCCTGGGGGGTGAAGATGGCTACATGCTCAACTACTAATTGAACCTATCCAGAGACTACTTCCTAAAAGAGGTACAGTCTCCAAAACCCACAGGAGCAGTTCTACCCTGTCCTATCGGGTTGCTGTGAGGCTGAATGGACTTTATGGACTTGAGTTTGCTTGAGGGGCACCTCAGAAGACAGGCCTGGTGACCTGCTTCTGCAATGGCACATGGGGTCGCTGTGAGTCGGAATCACCTGCACAGCAACTTACAGTAATCATAGGTGCATGTGTGTCTTACCTTTTATTTGTGGCACTGATGAATTTTGAATTCTAACTTTGTTGATTATCTATCTACGGTTAGGAAAACTAAAGAATTTTAATTTATTACCTGGATAGATCATCAAAGTTTATACCTTAAAATATAACATGCTGGGTCATTGGAAAAATTGATGATGATAATAGTGCAATCGACTTATACCCCAGGAGGATGATTGATGATGCTCTGCTTATTTGTTTATATAGGTTTTGCTTTCCGGCTTGTAGCTTGTTTTTTCCTTTCTTTCTTTCTTTTTGGGGGTGTGTTCTGTTTGTTTGGTTGCCGGTTGGCTTATGGCTGCTATTAGTGCAGTTGGGCTTATTGGGTTTTGATTTAGTCATATTACGACCACCAAAGTAAACATGAGACATGCAAAGCCCATGGACAAGCAGATGAAGTCTGAGCTCCTACTTAACTCTAGGCCCAATTCAAGAAAAGTTAGTTCTGATAATATAGCCCTGCTCGATAATCACCTTCATGAAATGATCACTGAAAATAAGGGTGCTACAGCAAAGTGTGCTGAAGAAAGAAAATGGTCCTGGCTATGAAATGGACTAGTATCTTAAGGACTTGTATTCAAACACGCAGCCATCTAAGTGAAGAGTCAACTAAGTCCACATGGAAGAAGCATACCAGCTTATGTGATCCAAAGATGACAATTAAAAATTCTGAATATGGTGATGAAAAAAGCATCAGAGCTAAAATTATGAATTGTGGAGAAGTATGGGGGATTGTGTGAACCCAAAACCCATCTGCAGAGCAGGCAGACTGAGCCCCTGGCAGATCCGCTCAGCTACAGGCAAGCGTCTCGAACAGCCTCACTATCAGGCAGAGACCATCGTCATCTTGATTATGCTGAAACGAACTCAATACTTGGCCAGTTGACCTCCCTATAGACATGACCTGAATTTGTTCTGGGCGCATATACCATATATACTCGAGTATAAGCCGGCCCGAATATCAGCCAAGGGACCTAATTTTAGCACAAAAACTGCATTAAAAATGTGCTGAAAAACTCAGCTTATGCACGGATTTATATGGTACTTATTCTATGACAGAATTTTCTTCTCTAGCTTTTTGAATGCTGATGGGGGTTTTTATACTATTAGGATTTTATCCTTACCACCTTAGTGCAATTTTGTTTTTATCGTTTTCTGTTGGGTCTCCCAGCTGTGAAGCACAGCTGTGTAGCGTGTAATGATAATAACTGATACAAGGTGTTACAGGAAATACAGGGGTGGAAGACAGGTGATAGGGAGGGAAAAGGGATTTCTGGAGTAAATAATGAAGACTGGAGGGGGCAGGAGCACTAGACTGGATTGTGATTGCACAACTCATTTTAAAGGTGGTTTAATCATGGGAGGGTAGTTTTAGAATTAAGGTAGTAATGGTTGTACAATTCTCCTGGATATGATTGAACGATTGAACTATTGGATTGTCTGATACATAAATTATGGCCTAGATTTCCTCTAAGAGCCTACTTTTGAATCAGTGAGGTCTCTATGTGTCCTGTAGCTGTGATACTTTATGATTTGTGCTTAAGGACGAGAAAACCAGATCTAGATATCCTAGTGCAGTGTTTCTCAACCTGTGGGTCGCAACCCTTTTGGGGATCAAACGACCCTTTCACAGGGGTTGCCCAATTCATAACAGTAGCAACATTACAGTTATGAAATAATAACGAAAATAATTTTGTGGTTGGGGTCCCCACAACATGAGGAACTGTATTAAAGGGTTGTGGCATTAAGAAGGTTGAGAACCACTGTCTTAGTGGATGGTGGTGTCACCTGCTAAGAGATTTAAATTTTAGCATTAATCATGATATGCTGAAAATAATAGTGAACAAAGCACTGAATAATTTTCCCCTTTTGCATTTAATCTCATATTTAAAAAAAATTTTTTATAGGATCAAAGTTACCAAACAGGTTTTCCCCTCCTTCAAAAGAGCAGGGTATTCAGTCATTTGGTAGAGCCATTTTTAAACTAGACTTCATGTGCAGAAAGGTATCCTGCCCCTATGCACTGTTTCTCCTATTATTACTACCTTGCATTAGTGTGGTGCATCTGGTATAATTGATCAATTAGTATTAACCAAAATCCATACTTTACCTTACTAGTCACAAACTTTCTTCTTTTTTAAACTGGGAAAGGTATTTAGCTTTAACACTAATTTATTATCTGTATCACTATTAAATGTTTTAGGATTATATAGCAGCTAGTAAAAGTCTTCTACCCAATAAAACGGGCTTCATGGAAAAATAGAATGGAGAGATAGTTCCACAAATGGTTTGAAGCTCCCTTGCGCCATAATCTAATCATTATTAATGAAATCAAATGTCGTCACTTTGTGCTCTTCTCTGTAAATGTTGCCATTTTTTCTCAATTGCTGTAACAGGTGACCAGCAGAATTCATCTTAGCTAGCATTTATTCATTACTAACTATGCATTAGAAAGGCTCTGTAGCTTTTAGTGAACTTAAAATACGGACGGGAGAAAAGATGCCAAGGTAACAGCGGAGCAAAGCATATGCCCAATACAGAAGTGTATCATTCAAGGATCGAGCATTTTAAGGGAAGTCAGAAAGAGCTCGAAGATGAGCCAAGAGAGGGAAGACAGACCACCAGCCTCCGATAATGAAGAAACTGACCAATGTGCAGAGCTGGTAGACTATAGAATTGCCTCGGATATGTAATAGTGTTGGGTTCTCACAAGTTTCAGCTTGTAAGTTTTAAAGAAACATCATGGTTTCAGCAAGTTTTGACCTCGTGGGTGTTGAGAACATTGCACAAAGATTGTTGTTGCTGTTGGGTGCCATCAGGTCAGTTCCGACTCTTCGCGACCTAATGTACAACAGAAGGACACGCGGCCAGGTCCTGTGCCATGCTCACAAGGGTTCCTGTGCACAGCCATTTTCTAGTTCAAGAAGCTGGTTTTTATATCAGTCTCTTAGCAAAATTAAAGCTAATGAAGACAATTTTATAGAATGTGTTACAACCAGGGACTAGCCTTGGAATTACCAGCACTACCTAGGAAGTAAGGTCCACTCAAAACAGTGGTTTCCAAGAGGATCTCCTGAGCCAATTGAATTCAGGCTTGGAGGCCAGCTCAGGTGATGGTGACAGTCTCTGTGTGTGTGAGTCCAGAGGCATAATCTTGATAGATTTTCTCGAAGAACAGAAGACATTCACGAGGCTTACTGCGAAGCTTCAAAAAAAACAAAAACCTGGTTGATGAGAAAAAGACCAGCAAACTAGTTGAAAGGAATTTCCCCATCACAACAATGCAACTACTGATTCTTCTAGCATAGCAGGGGCTTCCTATGAGAATGTCATTGGAAATCTCCAGCTGTACACCT